ATTTGAGTATCTAATGGTTGAACTACAGCATAACCACTTGGTGGAGTATTATGTAGCCATTAAAACATTAAAAGAATGTGTAGTAACCAAGGAAAGTATTTGTTATGATGCTAAACTTCAAAAGAAAAAAATGAGCCTGTAACAGAACTATGGCGAAGTAAAAGAAGCACAAATACACGGGGAAAAAGCACAGGAAATAAATGTTCCGAATCACCATGGATGACTTTTTTTTCTTTTCCAAATTTTCTATAATAACCAGTATATATTGTGTCATAATAAGGGAAAATAAACTTTTCTCTTAAAGTCTTGGGTTTGCTTTCAAGAGTAACTACTCTGCCTTCACTGACATCTTTTCTTTATACTCTTTTCCCGTTTCTGTCCTTAGTTCATCCTGTTATTTTCAGGACCTCTTTTGTTTCCTTTGACCTCTTTTTCCGTGGAAAGTGCAATTTGTTCATCTCCTGACTACTCTCACTTCCCTGAAGTACTTCTCAAGATGTGCGTACTTGTGAGGCGCTCTGAATTGCTTCAGCGTCCTCTCCAGATGCTTCTGTATCTTTACACAAGTGTCTGTACCTCATCCAGGGTGAGGATGTCGTCACAGGAGCAGAAAGAACTTTGGATTGGGACTCAGGAGCCCCTATGTGAATGTTCGTTGCGGGGTCCCTAACTGCATGACTCTGGGCAGTGCTCCTCATGTCCTAGTGGGGTGTGCAGGGTGGAGGTCTCCAGCTGGGACAGGGTCTCCAGGCCTTGAGCAGTTGCTGCTGCCACCTAGTGTCAGCCCTCGGAGCTCAGCGTGCACGTGGGTTCTGTTTTCCATCATCAGGGATGCATCTTGCTACTTTTTTAAGTCCATGGACTTGGATTGCAGAATATTTGTATCTACTTAACAAGCCACATTATTGAGTAATTCACTTACTATGTCTTTTTTTATTACTCAGTGTAGGGAAAGTGAAAGCAAATGGTCAGGGTCCCTCAGATATTCAGAATCTTGCCAAGCATTTGATTTAAATGATAACTGCACACCTGTGCCCAGGTGTTCCTTGGCTATTGTCTGTTGATGTGCTTGGGCACCCAGGTGTTCCTGAGTTATCAGACTTAAGTATAAAGGACGAGTGGCTCTGATCCACGGTCCCCCCACCCCAGAGATGCCCCAGGCGGGGGGTGGGGGGGTGCCACGGGGAGGCTGCTACTGCTGCTGGAGGTGTTGGCGGTGGCGGTGGCTGCTGTTGCTGCATCTGCTGTAAGTTGCTGCTGCTGAGGAAGCTGAGGACTGCACTCACATTGGAATGAACTTGTCAACTCTGTCAACAGCTCCTGGGATCTTTTCTCAATTACTTAGCTTGCAACCCATATGTGAGGTCTGTGACCCAGCCTGTATAACAGGTTTGAAGGGTCTGTTGGCCCTAGCCTGACACTCAGCTATCAATAACTGGCAGAGCTTTAGGGTCGCTGCACTAACCAGGAGAGTCATTCTGACTTGATGAGGCTCCTGCCATGTGGTTAGCCTGCACGTCCCCCTCATGAGTGGAAAAGTTATTTCTTGGAGTTTTTTGAAATATTAATAATTGCTAGAAGGCCCCTTTTAGAACTTCAGTGAAACCTCCTTAAGGTCTGATTAGAAACTATTCAAAACCCCGAAGCCTAGACACAGCCGCTGACCCCGATGCTGAGGCCAGTCGCAGCCTCCCTGCTGTGACCATCAGTACCTCGGTTGTCTGAGCCTGTTTGTGAGTCTTCATCAGCTGCCTTAGGATCACTCTTCTAGCTGGGCTTAAACTGTTCTTCACATTTTACCTCTTAGTAGTTTATTCGTTTCTGCCTCTCTCTAAATAGGTTATAAAGTCATTGCAGTGAGAGTTACACTTTCTCCTGCTTTGTACCTTATCCGTTCTCCCAGCACGTGCTTGTTGAGCACCTGTCACATTCCGGACACTCCAGTAGCTACCGGGTATGAGACAGTGTTAGCCGTGGATGTGGCCCCACCCTGCAGCTTACATGTTGGCTTTCAGAAGGACGTGGGTCAGGAAGACAGAGAGGAACGGACTCGAGATGGTGCGTGGGGCTGGGGTCCAGGTGCGATTCCGGACACTCCAGTAGCTACCGGGTATGAGACAGTGTTAGCCGTGGATGTGGCCCCATCCTGCAGCTTACATGTTGGCTTTCAGAAGGACATGGGTCAGGAAGACAGAGAGGAACGGACTCGAGATGGTGCGTGGGGCTGGGGTCCAGGTGCGGGGCAGCGGGCCACAGCTGACGGGTCTGCCCGTCAGTGCTTCCCATGCTCAGGTATACACGGCACCGCCGGGGATCCTGCTTACTGACCCACGGAGTCTGATCCGGCTGGACCTGCGCTGCATTTCTAACACATCCTGGGTCCCATGTTGAACAGGAAGCTTCTGACTAAGTCCCGCCTGTTCCCTGGGGTCTTTGCTTGAGTCGTTTTCCATTACAGGCCCTCCACACCTGCTTCTCCTGACCAAGGTGTGGAAAGTTAGTAGATAATAAGGCCAGAGAGGGGTCGCTCTGGTGAGGGCCTCGCCTCTTCTCTTTACAGATGTGGAAACAAAACCTAGGGAGATTGTTACTAGGTGCACAGCTGGTTAGCGACAGATTTGAGCCTGTGCTCCCAGTGCCCCTTGAGGGTTAGGAAGAGGCTAACAGCACCGACGAGAACCTTCGAGTACAGCATGTTCAGCCTTCTCAGAAGCTGCGGCCGGCAGGGACCTGCCCAGGAGCCTCTGTTGGTCTCAGCTGCAGTAGGAGGGAGGGGAGGGATGTGAGATTAGCTCCATGATTGACACCATGATTGCCCCACATATACAGGACGTAGGAAGAGTGGGACGCGAGTGTTCGAGAAGCAGCCTTTGTGGGGTCTCCCTCTTTTCCCTTCCACTGGGAGGGGAGGGCTGGGGCTGTCCCAGTCATGTGGCAGAGGGACGGGCAGGGTCTGCCTTTGGCTGAGTCTGGGGCTGAGAGCTGGTTTGGTTGCTTCTGTCCGTCTCTAGTCTTGGCCTCTGCAGTGTTCCGATGGAGACAGCCTGGAGCTGGGCGGGTGGCAGCGCTCCTGTCCTTCATTTCCTGGGTCTAGAAGCAGGCGGGCTGGCAGCTGGCTGTGCTGTGGGAGGGCCAGGGCTGGGGCTACTCATTTGGCCACGGTAGGAAGTCTGAAGAACCAGCNGTTCCGGACACTCCAGTAGCTACCGGGTATGAGACAGTGTTAGCCGTGGATGTGGCCCCACCCTGCAGCTTACATGTTGGCTTTCAGAAGGACGTGGGTCAGGAAGACAGAGAGGAACGGACTCGAGATGGTGCGTGGGGCTGGGGTCCAGGTGCGGGGCAGCGGGCCACAGCTGACGGGTCTGCCCGTCAGTGCTTCCCATGCTCAGGTATACACGGCACCGCCGGGGATCCTGCTTACTGACCCACGGAGTCTGATCCGGCTGGACCTGCGCTGCATTTCTAACACATCCTGGGTCCCATGTTGAACAGGAAGCTTCTGACTAAGTCCCGCCTGTTCCCTGGGGTCTTTGCTTGAGTCGTTTTCCATTACAGGCCCTCCACACCTGCTTCTCCTGACCAAGGTGTGGAAAGTTAGTAGATAATAAGGCCAGAGAGGGGTCGCTCTGGTGAGGGCCTCGCCTCTTCTCTTTACAGATGTGGAAACAAAACCTAGGGAGATTGTTACTAGGTGCACAGCTGGTTAGCGACAGATTTGAGCCTGTGCTCCCAGTGCCCCTTGAGGGTTAGGAAGAGGCTAACAGCACCGACGAGAACCTTCGAGTACAGCATGTTCAGCCTTCTCAGAAGCTGCGGCCGGCAGGGACCTGCCCAGGAGCCTCTGTTGGTCTCAGCTGCAGTAGGAGGGAGGGGAGGGATGTGAGATTAGCTCCATGATTGACACCATGATTGCCCCACATATACAGGACGTAGGAAGAGTGGGACGCGAGTGTTCGAGAAGCAGCCTTTGTGGGGTCTCCCTCTTTTCCCTTCCACTGGGAGGGGAGGGCTGGGGCTGTCCCAGTCATGTGGCAGAGGGACGGGCAGGGTCTGCCTTTGGCTGAGTCTGGGGCTGAGAGCTGGTTTGGTTGCTTCTGTCCGTCTCTAGTCTTGGCCTCTGCAGTGTTCCGATGGAGACAGCCTGGAGCTGGGCGGGTGGCAGCGCTCCTGTCCTTCATTTCCTGGGTCTAGAAGCAGGCGGGCTGGCAGCTGGCTGTGCTGTGGGAGGGCCAGGGCTGGGGCTACTCATTTGGCCACGGTAGGAAGTCTGAAGAACCAGCCTCAGGAAGAGCCTCCCAACTTCCTAGATTCCCCAAGAAAATGTAGCTTTGCAAGAACTATTGCTTTTGTACAATGATTGGAGAGGGATAGGACAAAGCTCCTCCTCTCCAAAGCACCCAAGGTAGCGTTGAGGCTTGCGGGGCTGGCACTGCATTAGGGCCCCCTGGTGCCCGCCTGGGGCATCCTGCCCCAGAACTGCTGTGCTCAGCCCTTCCGTGAGGCCCATGCCCACATCCAGAAGAGGCTTGGAGTCAGGGAGTTGGGACTTACTAGATGTGGGTGTTGTCCAGAGCACATGGTGAGAAGAAAGACGAACAAGTGCCTGTGGAGAGGAGGAAGGTTCAGTCTAATTCCTTTGTTAATATATGTGATGTTCTTGTTTATATCAATGTCAGATAGTTTTGTGGAGTGTTTTGTCTCTTCAACTGAAAGCCCTCGAGGGTGAGGATCGACACCTGGTGTCTTCTGAGTTCTCCATCCCATGTGGCACGGTGCTGAGTGCAGGCCCCTCGTGGGCTTGGTCCATGTGGCACCACCCACCTGCACTGCTTCCTGCCTCCACATCTGCCGTCTACGTGACCTTGGGTGGGTCACTACCTCCAGGATTTGTTCTGAGGACTAGATCTTATTTATATATAACGTAGGGGAGGGAGAGATCACGTGTACATGACCATATGTGTGCATGTCTGTGTGCACACACCCATGACAGTGCCTGGCACGCTGCAAGCGTGTGAAGGATGTTCTGTGTTCAGATGATGACAATGTTGGTGTGACCAGAGTTGCTTCCTAAAGCTCAGGTCTGTCCTTCATTGTACACGTGAACTCTGTATAGTCTGTTGTCACTATAATGTATGTAAATAAATGTGTTCTCTTCCAGGTGTGGAAGATATCCTTACAAGGACCGTGCTACATGACACTGTTAATGATTGCGTTCGGCTTGCTGTGGGGACACCTTCTGAGGGTCGGGCCCACTCAGAGTGTCTTCATCTCCACCTGCCTGTCTTTGTCGAGCACACCCTTAGTGTCCCGATTCCTTGTGGGCAGTGCTCGGAGCGATAAAGAAGGTAGGTGATGGTGTGCCCTAAGTATGTGTGTAATTAGTGCTTCTGTGTATAACTGGCCTGAATTCATGATTAAAGGCCTGCAGGGAAAAAGTGCGCATCTTCCTTCTTGCTCAGGACTTTCTGGACAGTCTTTGTGGACACTGAGGCTCACATTCCTTAAGGAATTCGTGTCCCTGTGTATTTGGCTTCTCCAGACCTGCACCCCTGCACTTGATGGAGAAAGATGCCCATCACGTGCTTTCTGTGTGCGTCCATCTCTGTCACTTATAACAAAATGCCTGAAACTGGGTGATTTATAAGGAAACAAAATTTATTGCTTACAGTTTCTGAGGCTGGGGAGTCCAAAGTCCAGGGAACACAGCTGGTGAAAGTCTTGGTGGTTACAGTGATGGCAGAGTATCACATTGAGAAAATGGTGGAGCAGAGAGAGGGACAGACAGTGTCAGAGGCTGGGCAGTCCAAAGTCCAGGGAATACTATAGTGAAGGCCTTCCTTGGTGGTGGCTTTCAGCAATGCAGGGGTCTCACATGGTAGAAAATGGTGAAGCAGAGAGAGAGAAATAGTTCTCATGTACCCTCCTCCTCAAGCCCTCTGAACAACACCTCTGACCACCGTTATGAATCCATTCACTACTGCATGGTCCTACAATCCAATCACCTCTTCAAGCCCCCACCTTTTAATTGCCGTGATAGGATTTCCCACCCTGAACAGTTACAGTGGGGATTAAGTTTTGGGGGGCAGTCAATCCAAGGCATGCTGCCCCTAGCCCCCCAACACTCACATCCTTTTCACATACAAATACATTACTTTCGCTCACTCGGTAGAGTGCGGTGCTGATAACACCAAGGCCACGGGTTCGGACCCTATATAGGGATGGCCGGTTCGCTCACTGGCTGAGTGTGGTGCTGACAAATACATTACTTTCATCCCAAAAGTCTTAACTTCTTTCAACTCAAAAGTCCAAAGTTCAAAGTCCCATGTGTGGACTCAATACAAGTTATCTACCACCAAGATACAATGGTGGGACAGACATAGGGTACATACTCCCATTCAAAAAGGGAGAAATGGGCCAAAAGAAAGGGGTAACAGGTTCTAAACAAGTCCAAAACCCAGCAGGGCAGGCATGAAATCTCAAAGCTGGTGACTCACGTACCTTGACTCTGTGTTCAGCCTCCTCTGCATGCTCGAGTGGGGGTTGGGTCCCCAAGTCCTCGGGCAGCTTCGCTTCTATGGCTTTCCTGGTCTCAGGCCACACTTCAGCTCTCACAGGCTGGCATGGCAGTCTGGTAGCTCCACAGGTCTGGGTCTCCATGGTGGCGCCCCCTCTCTGCTCTGCCACTTTTGCAGTGTGATACTCTGCTGTTACTGTTGCAACCACCAAGGCTCTCACCAGATGTGTTCCCTGGACATTGGATCTCCCAGCCTCAGAAACTGTATACAATAAATTTCGTTTCCTTACAAATTACCTAGTTCTGTTTATTTTGTTATAAGCAACAGAAATGGACTAATACACATGCTTACAAATTTAAGATAGTTGAGGACTTGAGAGAAATTGGACCAAGACTAAAGGAAACCAATTTACGTTGAAAAAGCTTCGGAGGAGGTGGTGGGTTTGAGTTTGATGTGCACTGTTCCACTGCTTTCATTCTAGCAAGTCCTAGGAACTGACACACTTCTGATACATTTTTTCTATAAAATCAAGATGCTTGATAATTAAAGGAATTTTCAAGCCTTATGCTTTGGCTTTAGTTTCATTGACGTGTGTGATACATTTGCATCTCTAAATCTTCATTTTGTGCAGTAAAGTCAGACTTGATCAGAAGCGTGGGCACCAACACTCCAGGTGGTCGCGCCAGGCACCGTCCTCTGTACACAGTTGAGCTTTGTCAGCATTGCCTTCTTCCATCACGCAGATTCATCAGGAGAATTGTCACTGTTTTGCTCTTATTGTGTAAAAGTCAGTAAGATACAGGGTGAAATGGGAGTGTCATAATAACTTCACACTGACGTCCTGCCCCAAACACACAGGAATAGAGGAGAAAATAAGAAAAGAGAAAACCAAAAAGGCATGGCCGACCTCTCCAGGGCGATGGACACTGCTCTGCATGGACTGAGCAGGGCAGTGGGTTGGGCTGGCCATGGGCTGCCGAGCTCCACGTCAGGAGCGGGTCCTGGAGCTACTCGGGTACATGCAGAGCACACTCACTGCACGACCAGGGTTGAGGGAGCTTCCTACTGCGAAAAGGGGCTGAGAAAACTTCCTTAAAAGCTGCTGCCGGATTCAAAATGGCGACGGGTCTGGAGCGCCCGCGTCAGGAAACAGCGCGATCCTGAGAG